TCTCTGTTGATCGTATGTAAGCTATGATGGTGAAAGCATTATACTTTTAATAAATTATTATAATTTAAAATTAACGTATTTGCTATTTATATTGAACATATAATTTTAGCACGTTTGTGACGAAAGCTAAAGTTTTTTTGTCCGCTTCCTTGAACCAACTAGTGTCAAAGGACAAAAGAGGGTAAAGAGGCGCAAAATTGCATGGCTCTAACCCACGATTTATAGCTTAAGAAACAAACACCTTAACCACTCGGCAACTTATTAATTATTTCTTTCATAGTATATTGTAAACTGATATGAAAAAACTTACTTGATCGGTACAACCTTTTCGTACATTTGAATTTTTTTTTCACCATTCGACACTATTTCACTTTTTGACATAATCTTTAACCAGACAACAAACTCTAACAAAATAGCAATACTACATTCTGACTGTAATAACCCAAAACACAATTATATACTTTCTTAAATAGCTGACGATATACCGACTGAAATACTAAAAGTATCGCTGAATATTCTATATCAAGACCAATTTGCATCGTTATTCCTGTCAATGAAATCACTTCAAAAGTTTTGCTTATTTTTCAAGTTTGATTATAGTTATATGTATGACTAGGTGAAACGTTTAAGATTACTTTACATCAATAAGTTAATGATAACTAGTCTGTAGGACATAAAAATATTCTGTTTTTTCTTAAAAATAAAAAGAATGAGATAATTCATTTAATTTATCGAAGTTATAATGAAGTCTTCTTTATAAAATATAATTGCATTTTTGAATGATAAAAAGAATTAAAGAAATATTATTAAACATAAACATTGACATTTTTTACATATAACGGTTACACCTAATTTATACTCCTATTTATCTTTTCCTACGAGATTCTATTGGGTTCATTTCATTTTTTTTGTTTTTTCTGTATAGCGATAAATTGCCATGTTTCTCTTTGTCAAGTTAGGACAAATGCAATCTGTCTTGGTCTGATAAAATAATTCAAAAACATGTTTATTTTGGTCCCCGTGTAATTGATAGAATTTGTATTGTTTTGTACCAACTGAACTGAGCATTGTGATAGAGGTTCTATAATGTTTTGTAAATTTAGCTTTTATCTGTTGTTGTTTGTTTTGAATTTTAAATAGTACTGACAATTATTCACAAGCGAGCTATATTTTAGTTCTACATGTCAATGCCTAAAATTCAGATTTGACAATCATTTTGATTTTAACAATAAATTTAAATGTATTTGAATAGAATTATGAAGGAATTGTGCCTTTTAAAATGACAAATAATTCAAAGGTGCCAAAATCTCATCATACTGTACTCAACATAATGACAAATTTGGAAACATAAAAAAAACATTTTTCGTTTTATACAAAATTGAGCCAGACATTTTTGACATGTTGTTTTCATTTTGATATGTAAATTATTGTACAATGATAGAACTGTACGTTTTAAACGTCAAAGTTGAAACGAAGTATATCTATCTTATTTATAGAAAGAATATTACATTTATTTCGTTGTATTCCATTATACTTTAATTATCACGATGTGCCATAGTTGTATCCTACTATCAGAAAATATTAAGTGTTGTAAGTTACTGAAATATGTAAGAGGAGTTCCTTATTAAAAAAGACAATATATCAAAGAGTTCCACAAGACAATGTCTTTTTTATCAACATTTAAATGAATTGGGCAATAGTTGTCATTATGTGGTTTCAAATCAAGGCTAAAAAACCATTTATATTTGGAGCATAAAGACATAAATAGTGTTTTTTTTCCTCAGGAGTAAAAAACTGATATATTCTCCCTCCACAAATAACATATTTTTTAACATACTAACAATTTCGTATCTAATACCGTTGTTTCCCGATAATGGATATGCTGTTTGTTTTAAAAGAACGTTTCGAGTCGAGCCTGTGCAAACAGCTCAATATTTGGAAAAAAAATCATCCTCGGAATCAATTAAAACAGCAAAATTACATGAAAATTGCAGGCTCGGTTTCATTGAGTCTGTGCATAGGGGATAATGAAAAAGTGCATTATCCACCACAAAGTGCATTATCCCCCACACCCCCTAGCACCGACTTGGGCGGTACTCAATTCTCAACACTTAAAAGTTCTGGACTCAATGATTCCAAAGGACCAGAAAAAATATAACAGCACTTAAGTGAAGTACGGGGCAACTCTTTACAGCTACCACCTGCTTTTGTGAAGGATAAAATCCGGGAAGAAAGTTATCCGTCGGAAGCGTTAATCAGAAAAACAATACATGAAAATTAAATTGAATTGCAAACGCGGTTTAATTGAGTCTGTACATGAGGGATAATGAATATGTGCAACATCCCTCAAGCTTTTTGTTTGTTTGGATTTTTACGGCACATCAACACATAACTGGCCATATCGTGCCGTATGCTATAATAGGCTTAAAATGTTATGTAAAACTTTGTAAATGACAATAAATATGAGCCAATTAGATCCTAGAATACAGGTTTATCTCTTTCAAATAATCAATGATGTTTTTTGATGGAATTGTATTAAAGAGTTTTTTGAGTGAATTTACAGAATAAAGTCTATTACGGGCCTGTGAAAAATCATGACATTCAAGAAGAAAATGCTTGACAGTAAAATTTTCCTTACAACCTACACAGAAAGGGGCATTGTCATTTGTGAGTAGATAAGAGTGGGTAATTTTAGTGTGTCCAATTCGGCATCAAAGAAAAACTGCTTGAACACGGCGGTTTGACAGAGATAGAGATGGTGACACATCAGGAGACGGGTTTATATCGTTAAGTTTATTAAAAACGGCATTGTCCCAATTTGCTTTCCATTTAGTTGAATTGAGTTTATTTATAGCCGGTCTTAAATCACAAGCAGATAACAAAAAGTCAGTTTGTTGAAAATTAAATTATTGTTTAGCTAAAGCATCTACTTTTTCATTTCCTCGTATACCTACATGACTTGGAATCCAATATAATTTAACAAATGTTGTTTTAAAGGGATATTCAGGCAAAATAATGACAAAAATATTAAAATGATCTTATTTAGTCTACTCAAATGACGCTAAAATGACTTTTTCAGCATGAATGTCTGTTTAAATTCTATATATTTTGGGTTTGAAGCGTAAATATATCTATATATGTTGAACAAAATTTAGACGCCAATAGAATCACCAAATAGTTTTAAAACAAGTCAGGTGACTTGAACAAACTCTTGAAGTTACGTTACAATAACAGATATTGTTGATATTGTATGATTAAAACAAGCCTAAGCCATTCATTTGGCATGTTCTTTAACGTTTCCAGAGTTCACTTTGACAACTATTGTGAAATGCTAGCGCTCTAACCTGACCCACGCAGGTCAAGTTAGGAAACCATCATTTCATTCTTTATATGGAGTTTTGTTCCTTTGACTGTCTTATATATTCATTTTGAGGGCATTTACAGAATAATGAATGAAAAATTCAAAACTAAGAAATGAAAATTTTGCCTGTGTCTCCCTTTAAGTATATCATGAAATCGTAAAAGAAGTTTCTTTATCATGATATTGTCAGATTTTTTATTTTTAATGGATATTAAAACAGAAAGCGAGTCAGAAAATATCACAAATTTATCATGGGTATGCTGTGTTATGTATGACACTGCTAAATCGATAGCTTTTGCTTCAGCAGTAAAAATTGATTTGGTAACCTCATACTAGATGTAAAATTATTTTTAAACACAGCCGCACCTACTTTGCAACCTTCTTTTGAACCGTCCGTATAAATATGTATAAAATCTTCATGTTTTTCCTTAATTGCTAGAAACTTCTCTTTGAAATGTTCAGGTGAATTTGATGACTTTTTGTGCCCCCACTTTAGTGGCGGGCATTTAGATTTACCCTTGTCCGTCCGTCCTTCCGTCCGTTCTCTTTTGTGTCGCACATATCTCAAAAAGTATTTAACCTTGAGTCTTGTAAGTTTACATGAATGTTGATCAGCATGAGTAGTTGTGCACCTGAGTATTTTTGTCTGGATATTTTCAGTATTGTTAGAGTTATTGCCCTTGACTAAATAAAATTTTGCAATTTTCATTTTGTGTCGCATGTAACTCAAAAAGTATTTGACCTAGAGTCATGAAACTTTACAGGAATATTGATCAGCATGTGTAATTGTGCACCTTGGTATTCTCGTCTGGATTTATATAGTATTTTTAGAGTTATTGCCCTTGACTTAGTAAAATTTTGCAATTTTCAACTTGTGTCGCATGTAACTCAAACAGGATTTGTCATAGAGTCATGAAACTTTACAGGAATGTTAATCAGCATGTGAAGTTGTGCACTTGGGAATTTCGTCTGGATTTATATAGTATTTTAGAGTTATTGCCCTTGACTTAGAATACCTTTGAAATTTTTAACTTGTGTCGCATGTAACTCAAAAAGGATTTGACATTAAATGAAACAGTAGGCAAGCAAGTATTTTTTGTTAACGCATTAATATAAGTTTGAACTAAATACGAATGCAATCTTGAAAGCGAAACATAAATAGGAAATTAAAAACAAAGTTTTACCTAAAAACAATAAATCAGTGATGAAAAGACTGGTCTCTCTTCGTCAGCAGAAACCGCTAAAAACAAAAAGAACAACAACATAAAGAAAATCCCTAAAATTAGATTTGCTTAATTAAGATATCTGCTAAAACATAGAAAATTTGACGTACATGAAAATAACCTTATGGAAGCGTCCTAGTGCCAAACCTGAAATGTTTTTATGTCATAATTAGTAGATAGTAAGTGCTAATTAGTAGAAAGTAAGTGCTAATTAGTAGAAAGTAAGTGCTAATTAGTAGATAGTAAGTGCTAATTAGTAGATGCTAAGTCATAATTAGTAGACAGTAAATACTAATTAGGAGATAGTAAGTGCTAATTAGTATATACTAAGTCATAATTAGTATATAGTAAGTACTAATTAGTAGATACTAAGTCATAATTAGTAGATAGTAAGTGCTAATTATAAGATAGTAAGTGCTAATTAGTAGATACTAAGTCATAATTAGTAGATAGTAAGTACTAATTAATAGATACTATGTCATAATTAGTATATAGTAAGTACTAATTAGTAGATAATAAGTCATAATTAGTAGATAGTAAGTACTAATTAGAACATAATAAGTCATAATTAGTAGATAGTAAGTACTAATTAGTACATACTAAGTTATAATATTGTAATCGCTGCTTGCATTCTGTTAACATGGCTGATGCCGAGGAATATAGTCAATCTGACAACAGTTTTGAAGCATTTCTGATTTCACGGGAAATCTCGGAATCAGTGATAAAAGAGCTCAGAGACCAAAAGGTGATGTTGAATCCAGAATGCTTTTAAAACATTTATTACTTTTCTTGTTTGCACGGATTTTCATTGATAGTTGAAAGATTACTAATATCCGGATAGGCACCTTAGAAACGGATGCTGAAAACTTTTGATAAAAATTATTGAACAAAATAAGATTTACATGATCCAAAAATATCATGATTATGTTTTGCTGAGGAAAAGGAGTCATATATAATTAAATATGTAACTAACGTCCGAAGAAGGTCTAGGTTCGATGAAAAGGTGTTTTTCATATTACGCTAGTACATATACATGTACAGGCCTCGACACTAACTTTTTTAGCAGGTTGTACGCCGGACCACTAGATTTGAAAGTTAGGTGGTCCTTCCAGAAGTCAGGATGTCAGTTATCATTATTATATCATTTTACTGCAAATGTAGAAAAAAATGTTTTAACTTTATGACAAAGATGTATTATTAACCTTTAAAGAAAACAGATATTTTAGATATATATTTTTCATCTAATCAGAAAAGGGAGAGCAAGTCAGTAGGTATTTTATCGTAGAGTTATTTGTTTATTTGTTTTTATCTCAGTCAAAAATACACAACAGAGCTCTTATTTATGTTAACTTTCATATTAAAGTGATTTCTCCCTCAACTCAAGTTAGGGAATAGTGAAACCATTTGTGTCTGTTGTTTTCTTACTGTTAATAAATATTCATTGCTGATACGTGGTACGTCTTATAATCATGGTAATAACATAGTATCTTTTATAGATTAACATTTTTAATGGAACTAATAAATTATCTTATTCTTGTCTTTGAAAACAAGGAAATATCTAAATTATTAAACTAATGACAACGTTATTATTTACTATAACTTATCTTATTTTTCTCGCAGATTTAATTTTACCTCCCTGTTGCTTGTTGCTTGATATTCATTTTTGGCATTGGGTATTTTTAACCTTTTAAAATATTTTTAACTCTAGAAGAAACAGATCTCTTATCGTTAAACAGTTAAAATAAAGATAAATAGCATAGAATTACTAGATGTATTTTTTCCAGTTCCCTTCATTTGCTGCCGTTATTCAAGTATCTGAAATTAACGTTTAGCCAATATCATATAATTACCATCATCGGATACTCACGGTTGATTAACATAAATGTTAATGGTTCCGCCGTGGTTATCAGACGATGCATAATTACTAGCACAATTTGAATGAATTTTGTTCCTAAATTTATATCACAAATGAACCATATACATGCACATCGGACATAGATTTTAAACAAAATTATATAACATGTTTTTGACCAAATCGCCATTCTCCCAAATGAGCCTTGCATCAACCAGAAAATTCAAGTGGTCCGACGGACCAGTGGGTTTTAAAATTAGGTGGTCCTTGCCAAAATCAAGTGGTCTCGGACCAACGGACCACCGCTAATGTCGAGGCCTGCATGTATATTATTATTATGTATGAACACTGATAATTTTTAAGTAACTACACAGTAGCTTCCCTTTAACGCCCATAGTCTTCATGCATGTTTTGGTTATTTCCCTCAGTTATGAGTACTCCTTTTGTTAGTTATTATTTTCTGCTTATGGACTATACTATGGTGTCTAAATATTCTGTGTGTATGGGAACAATGTGTATATAATATTTTCATAAAGATGATGTTGCATTTGATTTTTTTTAAATATAAAATTTGGGCGAGATAATCTTCAAAAGATTTTAATGTGGCTGTAAATGCGTTAATTTGATGATAAGCCTTGTCTTCAGTTATAATCTATTTATCATTGTCATGTATAGCATTAACATCTTCATTTCAGATTGATGAAGATACCATTATTTGTATGCAGGATGAAATGCTGGCTAAATATATAGAAAAACTTGGTGACAGAATTGCTATCCGCAATTTTTGTGAAAGGAAAGACAGTTTAAAGAAACGTAAAACCACAAAGAAATCTAAATTATTTGAAACATTAAAATTCAAGCTATCTGAAAATTCGAGCAAAGAACCTGTTGGTCGAAAGCCCAGGAAATTAAGCAGAAAATGTGAGATAGGTTGGATTCACAATAAAAAACAAGTCAGGAAAAGATCTGGAGGTGGTACAAGAAAACTTGACATGCCAGTTACGTCAGTTAAAGCTGATTTACTCAGGCAGGCACAGGACTTATTCTTCCCGGGAGGTTTGTCACCTAAAGGACATATCAGTTTGTTTGATATTGATTTGTTGGATTTTAAAGAAACACCGTTGCCTGAAAATGTAACATTAAATGACTGCTATGACAGGTTCAAAACAGGACTTGTTAGCTTTTATTTAAATACAACAGACAGGGAAGTACTGGAATCACCAACTTCAGCACCTGATGAATTTGCGTGTGAATCTACAATTACCAAATCATCAGACTTACTGCCGGCAAGCAATACTGACCCAAGTTTATTTCTAACATCAGAGGAAATGATGCTCAACAATATCCTTCAGTATCAGTTTCAGCAGGAGGTATAGAATGAAGATGTTAAGAGATCTTTTTTATTTTGTTGCTGATCTTAATACTGAAATTTTATTGTACATGCAATGCAAATAGCTGATACAGCAACAGATATAGATTTTTATATTGTTGCATAGATATTTTCTGTCTTGAAGTTGGTCATCTGATTATAATATGGCGGTTCATGTTGATTTCAGGAATATTACTCACACTTTTTTCAAAGGTTTCCAAATCTGTAGATTACTGTTGACGATTGGTTCTACCTAATGGACAAAATATAATCAGCTGTCACAAACTCACCATCTTACAGATTTCAGACTTAGTATGTTAGGTTATTATTCTATTATATATGTTGCATACATTGAAAAGATCAAACTAACAATGTATGCAGTGAGAAAATGAAGGCTGTATAGACATTAACAGTTCTTAGTAGATATATCAAATTGAACGATTGCTTACTTATCCAAAAATGATTAAAATTTCTTCCTTTCATCACAAATGCATTATTTCTTATGAAAGAAATTCTTAATTTATTGATTCTCTTTGTTTTCTCTATTAGACTTCAGAAAGTACATATCAGACAGATGCATGTACAGCTATGATGGACACGGGCACACCAACGGTATGTGAACGCTTCATTTATTTGTATACAGTACCTTCTTTGAACGGTGCTCTTCCTTTTAGATCTGTCTGACTTGTTTTCAATTTTATGGCTTAATTTTACGAGTTTGAAGCCATTATTATTGCAAAGCATTTCCTGATGTGAAAGGGCATAATTTTAATTATAAGGCTTAAAATAAACATAAAAACAAAAGCTGTGGATCAAAATAAAGAAATATCTTGCACTCTTTAATTCTTATCCTAATTAACATTTTCTGTATGTTTTACAGGTGACTTTCAACATTCCATCTGGATCATCACAAGAAGGTAATGTACATCATGACAGTAGTGCAGATGACTCAAAAGCAGATGTGAGTTTTATTTTTTTTTTGTTGTTAATTTATTTTTATTGCGTATAGAAGGATTAGAAAGCTGGGAGGATGTCTTACTATTTTTCAGTCTGAACAACTCTATATGAGCAAAGAAAAGATAAAGGAATTTTTAAATTAGAATTAAAATAATATGTTTAATTATAATCTAAGCTTTGCATTTTTTTTTAATTTTCATTAAATTGCTACTTTTTTCAAAACAATTGCTATTTGAAGTTTAGTTCAGAGCATTCCTAACTTTCCTTAAAATTTCATCATAAATCTAGAGTTGTACTTTATGAGACATTGACAAGGTATCATCAGCAAACATTTGTTGTCTCACTTTTACAAAACTTTACTAAGTCACTTGTTGATCCTTTCATTGAGACCTTTCACAAAACAAAATCTATCCATTCGACTGACTTGACATACAGATTTTTTTGCAGAAATTTTTTTAAACATGTTAATATTTATTTTCAGCCTATGGATGATGACAGTGTGGTTTTATATGATGACAGCTTCCAGTTACCTAAGATTCAATATAGAAGTAGACGAAACCTGTCTATGGTAAATTTCTGTTGAGGAGATTTTTTATAATCGTTATTTACTAGAAGTAAAAAGGATATATCAATGTACATCTTTATGTATGCATCAATGTAATTTTTTTTTAAAAAGAAGACATGCTGATTTTATCCCTGATTGTAATATTGCAATATTTAATATTTCTCCCACCACTGAAGTCATCTGTTATTTGTCATTGCATGAGCACTTGTGTTAGTATGTGCTTGTGTTTGTTCAATAATTGCTGTTCATTAACAGATTTTGAAGTTAAAGTCAAACTATGAGCCATGCAAAAGCATAGACAGCTAGATAAAGTGCTGTGATGAAACTTCATATATAGAAAGCATGCATTTATACTCAGAGGTTTCAAGGTCATTGTTACTAAAATAAGAAAATGCTCACTGCTTGTTAAATTTAGTCCTGATTTAAGATTTGTGATGAAATCTCAAGGGTTCTTTTGCAGAGGAAAACAGCTTCTTATCAGGACATATCTACTATTCCACTTGGGACGATTTCAAAACATTCAGATGCAGTAGTACAAGTTATAGAAAGCAAATTGTGAGTAGATATTTTAAACAAACTTTAGATCTGTAAATATGTCAGTGAAGGTCTTTATGTAATTTTTTACATGCTCATCAAATGATGGGATTTATTATGAGATCACTTATGTACATAGCCTATTTCCAACCATATAGTACTTAAATTCAAACATAGATAGATATTATTTAGAGGAAGTGCAGTTAACAAGAACCATAATGCTTTTGTATTTTTGATTTATTACTCTTTGTTGTTTCTATATGTACAAATTTATATGAGTACACAGGCTTAAGTACACCATTTCAAATTATTAGACATTAAGTGCTCTTGATTTGATTATTTTAATGGAATATTACACATCAAAAATGAATGCTATGTTATGCTTGCTGTGAAATACCATAATTTTTAAAATCTTATTTAACAGTAAACATACATTAAATTTTATGTTAAGTCACTATTTAGGTTATAATTTTGTCCAGGATATAAAGCATCTATTCTATATACACATTCTGATTTTATGTATGCCTTACCACTTGTATTGTTTAGTGTGAAAAAATAGAAAATATTTTTTAATTCAGTGCTGAGCCAACAACAGAAAATGTGATCATTACATGGGCTGAGGAAACTCTGTCTAAAGACTACACTGATATAATTATACATAGAAGGAAAGTTCTTGATTCAACAAAACGAGCATTAAGTAGACCAAACTTTAATTTCTACAAAAAGGTCAAGATTGTATTCGCAGGTGAATTAGGTGATGATCTAGGTGGACCAAAACGAGAATATTTCAGGTGAGCATTGATAAATTTTAACATGATACTTGTTACTTTTCCTTGTCCAGGGCATAACTTGAAAACTACTTGTTGGAATTCAAAACAACTTCATACAATTGTCAAACACAATAAGGGGAAGTGCAGTGCACAAGAACTATAACTCTATCTGAAGTAATTACAGAGTTATTGCCCTTTGTTACTTTTCCATTGCTTTCTTTTGTCCGGACCATAACTTGAAGACTAATTGTTGGAATTCAATATAACTACATACAATGGCCAAGCACATTGAGAGGAAGTGCAGTGCTTAAAAACCATAACTCTATCTTGACTAATTACAGAGTTATTGCCCTTTGTTACTTTTCCTTGTCCGGGGCATAACTTGAAAACTACTGGTTAGAATGCAAAACAACTTCATACAATTGTCAAACACAATGAGAGGAAGTGCAGTGCACAAGAACCTTAACTCTATCTTTACTAATTACAGAGTAATTGCCCCTTGTTACTTTTCCTTGTCCAGAGTATAATTTGTAAAGTACTGGTTGGATTTCAAAACAATTTCATACATTGGTCAAGCACAATAAGAGGAAGTGCAGTGCGGGGGTATTAATCACATTTAGTGATAGTTCTAGTTTACCTTGTAGGGCAGTGTTTAGTAATATCACTTTATATTTGCTAGTTTGGCCTTCATTATGTATGTCTATGAATCATATTGTCAAAATAATCATGTCAGCAATTCGCTGAAAAAACTGCTATGCTTTTTTCCTAAAATGTCATACCAATTTCAGTCACCAATCTTGGATGTTCATGCCTTCAAGATTTTCCACATGAAAGTTTTTTAAGTTCTGTCCATTAGCATTTTCTTGTCTTAAGCATATGAAAAAAGTCTTCCAGTTTTTGGCTTGAAATTTGACAGGAGAAAAGTGCAGTAGAGAAGTACATTAAACAATAATTCAATGCACAATAATTGTGTATTAACTACCCTTTATTTTTTTAATTATTGTCTATCTGCATTCCCTTTCTTCAGGCTCCTTATGCAAGCTATGAAAGAACAAATTATGAATGGCAGTACATTCCAGCATAGTGTTCAAAAACTGGATGACAACATGTATGAGATGGCAGGTAAACTTGTTGCTTGGAGCATCTTAAATGGGGGACCTGGACTTCCTGTCTTTTGTCCAGCAGTAGCAGAGTATATTATTGGTGGGACTGTCACCACTCCTTCAACGGAAGATACAGATGAAGAAACAAGACAAAAGATTGCACAGGTATACTTCCTATTCATACCATGTGTTATAACTGAACTTTGATTGTGTTTGTTTTATTCATTTCAACCATTTTAGAAAATTCTTTCATTTATATAGACCTAGTTATTGTTCTTGGATAAATAGGGAAGGGCATACAGTGTCACATCTGTCTGTCTGTCGTACTATCCATGCATATTTGTAATCAAAAACATTTTTTGGACCATAACATCAAGGGATTTTCAAATAATTTTGCTTTACTACAACACGAGTGAAGTTCTGTGTCAGGTGCATGACCAAAACCTCTGCTACTTTGGTCAAGGTCACATTTACAGGTTAATAATTTTTCTGGTCCATTACTTGTCATGAATTGAGGGATTTGAAATACTTTGGCACAAATGTTACCATAAAACCTCTTATTTTGACAGCTGGCTTTACGTGCAAGGTCACAGATGGAGTTCAAAAAAGGTCAAAATTTTGTATGTTTTATATATTAATCTGTCCTTCATTGAAGGATTTAGAAATAATAAGGCACAATTGTTTATTATAAGATAACATGTCCTGACCTTGACCTTTAGATTATAGCTCAAGGTCACAGAAAATCCTAAAAGGAAGTCTTTGCCTGCTGATAATATTGTCTGAAATTTTATCACATTATGAACATCAAGCATAAAGCAACCTGTTTATCACATATTTCATTGATATTGTAGACACTTGAAGCAAGTGATATATCTGCTTTTGACACAGACTGGATTGTTGATCAAGGTGTCACTGGGGTAATTACAGTGTCTAGAAGACAGGAAATTGTGGATATGATTCTAAAGAACACAGTAATTTACAGGTAATTCAGATGAAAATAACCAGTATTATTGCTAGTAATCACTTCTTTTCAATGAAACAAAATTTAGATTTTAGAACAAATAAATAAGAATATTAAGTTTAGGAAGGATTCACTGAGAAATTAAAGTTTGTTGCATTCCATATATCTTTAATATTTAACAAAATTTAATTTAGCTTTTTGATAGAGTTAACAAGATCTTGCATTATTATCATCTTACTAGAACTACAAGTCAGAGATCTGAGAGCATTTCACTTCTGAACTAGCACTATATAATGAGACACATTCTAGCATATTTGTATAAACAGAGCTTACACATTTATTTTTCACATAAATTTTCTTTACTACGCATTTGAGTAACCTTTGAGGGTAAAGTTATGCTCAGTCACAGATGGTGTAAATTGCACATTAGGTATAGAAACATGGCTGCCAGCTTACTATTTCACAGTTGACTGGCATAATGCCAACAGTTGGTAAAAGAAGAATAAACAATCTTTTTCTATGTTAACTAGAGGACCAATTGACCCATGTTACCTTGTTTAATAAATGTAAAGTACTTCAATCACATTCCATCCTGTTTAAATTGCCTAGGTTTCCTCATGTTGGCAAATGCTTTATAGGCTTGTCATTAGTTGTATAAATTTCAGATAATTCAGTATTTTATTTTATATTTGGTTTAATTTCAAAAAAGGCTTGAAGATTATCCAACTTCACCTTTAATATTTCTTGAAGTTTCATTTGAACTTAGCCTACCATTAAATTTTTTTGTGCCACCACTATAATATAGATTATCTGGCTTTTCATCTGTCCAAAAACTTTTGTGTCATGCTTTACTCAAAAAGTTTTTGACTTAGTGTCAGCATGTGTAGTTGTGAACATTGAGTTTTGCATGTGGATTTAATTGACCACCAGTTTACAGCTGTGGATGAGTGTTGGCACTTGTCTCCTATGAATCCTTTTTTTAATAAAACTACATTTTTAAAATTTTATAAATATTTACAGAGTAAGTGCTGAAGCACAACAGTTCAGAGATGGTCTTGATGCAATCGGTGGTCTTCTGGGTTTAATGCAGAAATATCAATCTTTAAAGAATTTGTTAGTGAAGAATGTGACACCATTAACTGCTGGAGTTCTCAAATCTATCTACACTGTAGATTTCAGTGATGCAGGTTCCAATGCTAGACAGCAAGAAGAAGACACTATATATGCATTTGAATGCTTTTTGCAAGATTGTGAAGGTAATTACATCTGTATAAGTCATAATTATCTCATTGCATTTACTGTTTTATTTTATTACTATGAATTAAGCATCTATTGCTTTAACTGTGAAGCTTTTATGAAAAGAAGGTATTCAGGTCTAATCATACTTATTGGACAAAAAATTGCATAAATATATAGAACAACATGCATCGCAATGTAGTACAAAAAAATGCGTACTCATTTTCAAATTATTTTTTTTAATATTAACACCTTAAATATTAAAGTGGCGCCTGTGTCATCTTGAACATGAAAATTTTATATAATAAATAATTGCTTATTTTATATTATTTGAGCCTGATATTGTGTAGACAGACATGATCATAGAAGCATGATAATTACACCAGTATACATAAAATAATTAAGATGAATGTTTTAAATGTCTAGGGTTAGGATTGAACTCACATATTTCAACTTCAAATAAGATTTTATTGACATTCAAATTGACTTACTGGGTCAGAAAGGTGTAAGTCTAGTTTTAAGAAAAATGAAAGGTTTTCCAATACAAATATATTTCAATTACTTGGGGTGACTGTTGATATAAATATGAGTAATTCATTTACTTATATATATGTTTAGTATCAAGTTGGCAGGCAGGGTTTCTAAGCATGTTTTATTATTGCTCTAGTATTATAATTATATTATTACCAAACTATTTCAGATGGATCATGTGAGTGCAAATTGATAGATGTCCTGGTTTTCTGGACAGGTGCAGACCATATCCCACCAGCCGGTTTCCCTAACAAACTACGGATATCATTTATTAGAGATAACCTGCAAGCAAACTATTTGCCAGTTGCTCATACCTGTGGAATGGTGCTTGAAATACCACGTGGACTTGGACCAGAAGACCTCAGAGGACGTATGGTAAAGGCACTTCAATGGGGAGGAGAATTTCATCTAGCATAGACATTACATGTTACCTGTTTCTGTAGGGTTCTAGTTTTTAGTGTTATTTTTTAAGTTTTTAAAGATTTTAATCATAAAGAAATTATCATCTCCTCCAAGGATCAAGTTCTAAGCCTGAAGCCAATCTCAGATATCAACGAATAATAAAATTCTTATATGAAAATAGGTATGGAAAAAAAACATTTTTAAAGCAAATATCTGATTCATTCTGATGTGATGTTAAATGTTAAGTTTTAGTGGGTTATGTTTTCAAATTCTTTGATCACTGGCCACCTCTTGTTTGTCATCTTCAATAATTTATGAAAATTATATCTCCTAAATTAGTTACAAAATAACATCACAAACATGTACATTGGATGGCACCTTACCAAAAGTTTTGAAAAATTCCATTCCGTAAATCTCTGTTTGTCATAGCAACCACAATGAACAAACTAATTTTTTTAAGGATGCAGAAGGATAAGGACTGAGTTAATTAATATGTAGCATTGTCTATTGGAAGTTAATCGAGTTTGTCTAAATCAACCCTGCCAAAGCAGTCATTTTACACAGTTAATACTGGAAAATCTAAGTCTCTTTTAGTACCAGAAGACACCTAGAGCTGAGATTTTATTCGAAGCATTTTCTAGTCTGTTAAAAGCAGTTTATATGCAATTGTACTTAGGTGAATAATATTGGGACATTGGCATACTTAATGATATTTTATTTGAGGATATTTTATTCAAATTATGAAACTTCTTTTTGTTAATATATGTTAACTTTCATTTTTATACCCTGCATCAAATAATGCCTAAAATTAAAGGGTATCTTTAGTAAAGAGCATTTAATTAAGTTACTTTTCTGAAATAGACGATTGTTATTGTTATTGTTTGTGTCAAGGAATGTTCCACCGATGATTGGTTAAATTTGTGTTTTAATAAACTTTTTACATGCAATGCAAGCTTTCGTGTTGATTGCTTTGTATTTCCAAATAAAATGTATTAAGCCATTATAACATCTGAATGACTGGAGCTATACACCAACGTTATAAGAAGCCTAGAAAATTATAAAATTGTCAGCTGAGATATTGGTTTGCAGCAGTCATGTCAAGGTTGTTTATACATTTTTAGAATTGCACTGTGTCTGTCGTGCGACGTCAAACTTTGCATTTAAAGATCTTCTCCTCCTAAACTACTAGACCAAAGTTGATGAAACTTGCCAGAAATGTTCCATGCATGAAGCTCTTACAAAATTGTTCAAAGAATTCATTTAGAACTCTGGTTGCCATGGCAACCGAAAGAAAAAACTTAAACTATCTTCTTCTCCAAAACCACAAGGGCTAATGCTGAGATATTTAACATATAACATTTTCTAGTTGACCTCTACAAAGTTTCTTCAAATGATTGCCCTGGGGTCAAAATTGGCCCAACCCCGGGGGTCATTGTTTTTCCGTAAATACATATATTGAAAACTTATATATCTTAATATCTAAGGGCTAGAGCTTAGATAATCAATGTGAAGTATTTAATGAATTTAGAGCAATGGTCTCATTTGAGCGATACAGGGCCATCATGAGCCTCTTGTTTACGTCACTTATGCTAGCATTTCAGTGTGATCTTTGCCCATTTGCTCTTTTACATTTTTGTTTTAAGTTGTGAGCAGTCTAAATTGATGACAGACAGCATAGTAGTATTGAAGGTTAGACATTTTTGCTTTTGAATGACGCACTTCTTCAAAATACATCAAGGGATTTCCCATTTAATTTGGCTGCTGGTTACCAGGACACAGTTTCTGTTCAAATAAGACAAATTGGTGAGAATCTCTGTGTTTGAAAAAAGAAACTGGACAAATCGTTTTTTATTAAATATAAACCAGATCAGACATTAGGGATACGTTTCCGGTTCATAAGGACTTGTTTTGAGCTTTTGTGATCGTCTGATGTCCGGCGTCCGTCGTGCGTACGTGCGTGCGTGCGTGCGTCAACAATTACTGTGTAGACGATAGAGGCCATACTTTTCATCTGATCTTTATGAAATTTGGTCAGAATGTTTGTCTTAATGAAATCTGGGATGGGATTGTATATGGGTCATCTGGGGTCAAAAACTAGGTCACCAGGTCTAATTATAGAAAAACCTAGTGTAGACAATAGCAGCCATAATTTTCATCAGATTTTTTGAAAATATGGTCATAATGTTTGTGTTGATGAAATCTGGGTTGGGATTGTATATGGGTCATCTTGGGTCAAAAACTAGGTCACCAGGTCAAATTATAGCAAAACCTTGTGTAGACAATATAGAGACTATAGTTTTCATCAGAAATTTCTGTTGCAGGTGAACAGGTGAGCGATATAGGGCCATCATGGTCCTCTTGTTTTATATTGGAGCTGTGCCACGTCGTGAAAACCAACTATGTGCTTTTTACCACCAAAGATACGGATGCTGTGTGGGATCTAGATGCAAGCAATTCGATACAATACTTTATAAATGTTTCACATTGTGACCGTGCTTTTGCATTCTCATTTTACATATCGTGGGGTGATGACCTCCTTTGTTTAATATCATATAGCATGTTTTCGTATTCACGATATATACATACATGTATACAAATAAAAGAGAAAATCGACCATATTCATATCTCTGCGACTGTGTATTTTGAGTTTGTGTGCACAGGCCACTTTAAATAATATGGACAATGATGGAAAACTCATTGACGTGTCAATATAGAATACCGAATATGATTGTTAACATTGTGTGCAGACATCTTAGGTCTATGGAATGCTTTCCAAAAATAAAAACTATTTTGAAAAAAAGTAAACTTGATTATAATTGAGTATGGGAATATTTGTTTTCTTTTTTTTTTATCTTTTCTTGTTAGATTTCAAGGATTGGAATAATTCATTCTCATTAGACGAACATTCAAAAGTTATCTTCATTTTTTCGTTCAGGAGGTGAGGAAATTAAGACAACATGTTCATATTTAAATGCACAAATTACATTTATATTCGTATTAGAGTTATTCAGTTGTTGATCTTAACTGGTTTATTGTCAAAGTGATATGTCGGCATTTTGATTTATTGAAGAGCAAGTTCTTCGAGAATTTCCCTGCGTAGGACTTGATATAATACAGCCGCATCCTCTGCACTTCTTGGCATCGTTAGACCGTGGTCTTCTATAATCATTGTGCAGATTTCATAAACAGTTTCATCACAACAATATTTGTCCTTTCTCACACATTCTTCTGCGCACAGAGCTATATTTACCCTATCAACCGGGCGCAAATAGTTCTGGGTTCCATATAATTCTGGGCACGTGTACATAACCGCCGGTCGCCCATTCGGACTACATTGATTTTTGATACGTCTTATGCGATGATTGTTCCAAAGTTGCCGCACTGTGTTTAGATCCTCCTGAAAAAGACAAAACATTTCCTTTTATATAAGTTGTCATCAAACTAATCAGTTTGTTGTCGCATCATATATAGTATACACGCCCTGCACACGTGCCGTTAAAAGATTTGTTCAAATAATGCCAAAGACGACAAATTATTTTTTTCATGAACAATTAGGCAAGAAGCTGCAGATTTGACAAACTGATTAGATGAGAGACAAATTCATAAATCTGTTGATTAAATGGTATCACTTTTTATAAGCGTAAAGGCATAATATGTTATGCTCCTTTCGTCCGTCCGTCTGTCAGTACGTCTGTAAGACCGCTAGCAAATGGAGTTTCTGGAGGTAAACTTTAAAAGTTCTTTTTGGAAACAAACATGAAATGAAGGTTTTTAGGGGTTTGAAATCAATGGTCAAAGTCAGTACATGACCTAAACATTGAAAACCCCGGTCCATCAAATTGGCTTGATACTTATAGCTGTTGTATATGTGAAGTGTTTGAGACCTACAATTGTTTTATATTAGCTGTTTAAACGGACCAAAATATCTTTCGGGGATTAAATGTTCCGCCCTACGGTGCACGTATTCAAGTATTAATTCACATTCAGCATCCAAGTCATTATCAACTCTTATTAGTAAAGGAATTTAAATCTTGTTTTAGGCTTTTCGCTAAGATTAAAATCTATTATAAGTTCTTGCTTGAAAAGGGTTTGGACACACTTTCTGTTGATATTGACCATGACCATATAGTTGACAAAACTGACCTTCAGTTAGAAACTAAATAACGTCTTTTGCGTAATGATGTTCATAGTAAAGGGGGTAAATATTATTTCTCTGATTAAAACAGCAACATTTTTTTCTGTATAGTCTTTTTTTGCAATGGATACATATATATACAACAATTTCTATTATCAGTATCTATACTCGTCATTTAAAAATTGTGCTATGCGCCACTATATTTATAGTGGTCAATGACCTATGAACATTTAGTTATACTACACATAATATGTAAGGGAGTTGTCTCCCTTGTGTTTGGCTCTCCTTTTGTATTTCATAAGAAAGACATTTTGTGCTCGTGTTAATAAACAGTTATATCAAGTCTATCCCGTATTCTTGTTGACTGGCGTGGTGGCAGCTGTCGGATAAAAACCCAGACTTCCAGTATACGTGATTAGTATCGTCATTAACGAACTGGTAACAAAAATATAGCCAAAAGCGGCCGGGACGTGACAAGTAACTGAAACACGACTCAATTCAAAATGGCTACGCATCGTGCTCCAAAACAATGGACATTATCTAAAAACGAAACAATAACATCGTTTGAATCGTGGCAACAAAACCTGCAATATATCCTGTCTTTAGACTCAAATTTTGCTCCCTTTCTGGTTGACGGGTTTACATGGCTGAAAAAATCTGGCAACCCACTTCGTGGCCTAACCGACGATGGGGAAGCAGTCCCAGAGGCAAAACGTCGTACCGCCGAACAAAAAGTTACACACCTGGATTTGATGCTGGGACAAATTGCCAATTATTGCCCAGTTATTTCAAGAAATACTATTGTCAAGAATTCAACATCCTTATCAAATATCTGGCAGGCAATTCGACTTCATTATGGATTTCAGCGGTCAGGAGCAAACTTTTTAAACTTAAATGACATTAAATTAGAACCAGATGAGCGCCCTGAGGATTTGTATCAGAGATTAATTAGTTTTGCTGAAGACAACCTTCTCAAGGCAGGTGGCAATATTACACATCATGGGGATGCCCCAACTGACGATGAAGATCTTACACCATCTATGGAAAATTTCATCATTCTGACATGGCTTCGCTTGATTCACCCAAATCTTCCAGCTCTTGTCAAGCAGCGTTATGGAACTGACCTCCGGTCGAAGACTCTTGCTTCAATTAAACCCGAGATCTCTCAGGCGTTAGACAGTTTACTGGATGAAATTCACTCAATTAATGAATCAAAGGTTCTTAGGACTTCATTCAAATCCAGATTTCCGCCAAGTTCAAAACGCACACCAACCTGCCCACTTTGTAAACAAGCTGGCAGAACACGCTACCAACATTATTTAAGCAAATGTAACTTTTTACCTGACTCTGATAAACAGTTCTTGAATTCCAGGGTGAGACAGACCACTGAAGATAACGAATTTATTGAGAATCTTTGTCAAACCGATGACCAAGATGATCAAGATGAGCATGATATCCCTCCGACACATTATACCCCTGTCACATCATCTTCGCGTAGGGTTAGTACTACTAAATCGCCGACGATGAAAGTTTTTCATAAGCATTACGCATTAATTGTCACGCTTGATACTGGTGCAGAAATTAGCATGATCAAGAGTTCTGTTGCTAAACACATTGGAGCAACTATTCAATCTACCAGTCAAAATGCACTTCAAGCAGATGGGTCAACTCCTCTTAATATTACTGGGGAGACTCATATCATGCTTACACGGGGCAAAAATCACTTCAAACTTGATGCGCTTGTAGTTGATAACCTTGATGTTGATATTTTAGCCGGCGTTTCATTTATGGCCTACAATGATATCTCAGTCAGGCCTTCAAAACACGAAATCAATATCGGTGATAATCAGAAGATTATCTATAGTAGTTTTAAATCCGAAACTGAAAACACTAACATCCGTCATGTTCCACCGTTCGTTTTGCGTATTACCTCTTCTGCTGTAGTTTGGCCCGGAGAATACATCGAAGTAGATATTTTAAATAATGCTCATGCCGATGCCACCCTTGCCATTGAGAAACGATATGATTATAGCAAAACGGTTGGGAACTGGCCACCACCTCAGTTAATAGAGGCGGTTGATGGCAAAATTCGCATACTTAATGACTCCGCCGATCCACAAAAGCTTCATAAGCATGACCATTTTTGTCAAGTAAGACTAACTTCTCCCGTCACAACTGTCACTAGTACTTTAGATGATGCTACTTTATCCCCTGCTTCGACTCGTGTGAAGAATTCCCATGACAAACACACTGCTAACTCGGGCACTGTTAACTTAGATCCTGACAACATCCTTCCACCAAAGTCTCGCTCTGAATTTCAGTCCCTACATGACCAATTTGATGTTGTTTTTAGTAGTGACATAAAAAGAGGCTACAACGGAGCTGTAGGTCCCTTTCAGGCTAAGGTCAACATGGGCCCTGTACAACCACCCCAACGAAAGGGGAGAGTACCCCAATATAATCGTGATAAGTTGGTTCAGTTACAGCATAAATTTGATGAACTTGAATGTCAAGGTGTTTTCTGCCGACCAGAAGATCTTGACATATCTGTTGAATATCTTAACCCATCCTTTTTAGTTATAAAACCCCAGGGTGGCTATAGACTAGTTACTGATTTTGCAGATGTTGGTCGGTACAGTAAGCCCCAACCTTCTCTTATGCCTGATGTTGATTCTATTCTTCGCCTTATTGCTCCTTGGAAGTACATTATTAAAACTGATCTTACTAGTGCTTTCTACCAAATTCCACTTTCCAAAGATTCTATGAAATATTGTGGGGTTGCTACACCCTTTAAAGGTGTGCGAGTGTACACTCGCACTGCTATGGGTATGCCAGGGTCTGAGACAGCTCTAGAGGAACTCATGTGTCGAGTTCTAGGCGACTGTCTTCAGGACGGTATTGTCGCTAAGTTGGCTGATGACTTATATTGTGGTGGCAACACACCTGATGAGTTGTACACCAATTGGAAACGTGTCCTTACAGCCCTTTACAAGTCAAACTTGAGACTGTCACCTTCTAAAACCGTCGTTGCTCCAACTTCAACAACAATTCTGGGTTGGACATGGTCAAACGGCATTATCACTGCTAATGCTCACCGCATTTCTGTACTGTCTACTTGCCCACCCCCTACAACGGTGCGTGGCCTTAGGTCATTCATTGGTGCTTACAAAGTGCTTGCAAGGGTTATACCTAATTGCTCCTCTATACTTGCCCCTCTTGATGACAAAATTGCAGGACGACCCTCACAGGAAAAGCTGGAGTGGACTGATGACTTACATGTATACTTTGCTAATGCTCAGAAACTTATAAACACGCATAAGGCTATCGTTCTCCCTAGAGTTTCAGATCAATTGTGGATTGTTACAGATGGGTCTGTTGTCAAACATGGCATAGGTGCAACCCTTTACGTAACAAGAAACAACAAACTTTCACTTGCTGGTTTTTTTAGTGCCAAATTAAGAAAACACCAAGTTACATGGCTCCCTTGTGAGATCGAAGCGCTAGCAATCGCCGCTGCTATTAAACATTTCAGTCCGTATATTGTTCAATCTAAGCATAGGTCATGTATTTTGACGGATAGCAAGCCATGTGTTCAAGCTATTGAGAAACTTTACAGGGGAGAGTTTTCTGCTAGTCCCAGATTGACATCGTTTTTGTCATTAGTCAGCCGGTATAATCTTAACATACGGCATTTAGCTGGATCTGCAAACATACCATCAGACTTCGCTAGTCGCAATGCCCCAGACTGCACAGAACCGCACTGTCAGATCTGCTCTTTTATAATAGAAACTGAAGATTCTGTTGTCCGATCAGTCCAGGTGAATGACATTCTGAATAATTTGACTAATTTACCTTTCACAACCCGCTCCGCATGGTTAGATATACAATCTGACTGCCCTGACCTTCGCAGAACTCATGCTCATCTTAAACAAGGCACTCGCCCTTCAAAAAAACTTACTAATATTAAAGATGTTAAACGTTATCTTAATGTGGTCTCTATCGCTAAGGATAACCTATTAGTTGTACCGAAAAATGATCCGCTTACACCTTACAATGAACTCATAGTTGTACCTCGCTCAGTCATAGACGGACTTGTGACAGCACTTCATCTGAAATTAAACCATCCGACAAAGCATCAAATGCAACTTGTAATGAAAAGACACTTTTATGCTTTAGACTTAAATAATGCTATTGACAGCGTCTGTGAATTATGTCATACTTGTACTTCTTTGCAGAAGTATCCAGATACTTTAAATGAACAAACAACGTGCCCTCCACCAGAGGTTGTGGGAATTTATTTTGCAACTGATGTTTTAAAACGAAATAAACAATTGATACTTGTGCTTCGTGAAACTGTAAGCTCATATACCTCAGCTTGTATAATTGAAAATGAAAAACATGATACACTACGTGTCGCTTTGTTGAAACTTATTCTCGGATTACACCCACTTGAGGGTCCAAGTGCTATCATCAGATGTGATGCAGCTCCAGGATTTGTAGCCTTGCGAGAAGACGAAAAACTCAAGTCACTTGGGATTGTACTTGAAATTGGTTGCGCGAAAAATGTAAATAAGAACCCTGTTGCAGAAAAAGCAATTCTTGAGTTTGAAAACGAACTACTTCGCCATGATCCCTCTGGCGGTCCAGTTTCAGAATTAGGACTGTCAGTTGTTATTGCAAGACTGAATTCACGTATTCGTAATTGTGGCTTATCATCACGAGAACTTTGGACCCAACGAAACCAGTTTACAAATGAACAGTTACCTTTATCGGATAGAGCTCTCATTTTAAGTCAGCATGAAAACCGCCTACGTAATCACCCATACAGTGAAAAATCTAAAATCAAGGGACATAAGCCCTTGTCTTGTCAAGAGTTATCAGTTGGCGATATTGTTTATCTTGTTAATGAGAAAAGTAAGCTCAAGGCTCGTGACAGATATCTAATTATATCTATTGAAAGTCCATGGTGTTACATTAAGAAATTTTCTGGTTCACAGTTAAGAGCTACATCATACAAAATAAAACTTAGTGAGTGCTACAGAGTTCCAAGTCAATTTACTGAGTGTTTGCCAAATCAAGTGAAATATTATAGTGATAATGATCATGTAAGTGAGGACGAAGACGCGATACCAGAAGTTATTAACATTCCGGACACTTTGTCTCGTCCAGCATATGAACTGCCAAATCAACCAATTGAAAATAACTTATCTTTGGACCTTTCTACAGAAGTAGTTGATGAGCATGATATAAACTCTAGTCATTCTAATGTTGAACTCCGCACCATTAATACAAGTGAGCGACCACAAAGGGTCCGAAAGCCTCCAACTTACCTCAATGACTATGATTTGTCTTAATACTTGATTTCACATTATAACACCAGAACATTTTTCTTAAGTCAATGTTATTCTAGTTCGTTTTATTCAACATTATTTTTAAATGTTTTAAATGATAAATTTGCTTAATACTAAGATGCTGTATGTTGCTTAAATTAACCATTAGTCAAACATGTTGCATAATTGTATCCGTACTTCCTAGGGAAAGGAAAAAGAAGTCACGCCACTATATTTATAGTGGTCAATGACCTATGAACATTTAGTTGTACTACACATAATATGTAAGGGAGTTGTCTCCCTTGTTTTTGGCTCTCCATTTGTATTTCATAAGAAAGACATTTTGTGCTCGTGTTAATAAACAGTTATATCAAGTCTATCCCGTATTCTTGTTTACTGGCGATGTTTATATAAAGTCTTGATATACAGGCTAATCGTAATTTATTCTGATCGTAAAGCCACGTTTTTGTATGACAAGGATTAATTCAACTTTATTTATTTTCAGTTACAATGTAAAATTTATGCAATTTTGTGGTAATTTTTGTTCAAATATATTGTAAACAAAACATACATAATTTATGTTATTTAAGTTTTCGGTATTACCTGAATGAGATCCATGAAGCAGAACTGGATTAATGACTTATCTAGAAAATTGCCCGTAAAACTGCCCATATTCTCCAGCATTGTAAAGAATTCTATCCAGTACTGAACATTCTGGGTCCGTAAAATCCCCCACCACCTTTCTATGCGCTGATTTCGATTGCTAGAACCGGCAATATAATACTTGCTGTCGTTTCCATCGGTACCTAAACTCCTTAGTAAAATCTGCATATCTCTAACATAACCGTTTTCTGTCCCCATGTCTGCTCTTATTCTGAAAGGGCAACCTTTAAGACACTCCACTGTGCCAATGTAATATCCAGAGATTACCCTCGGATCATTGTTGGTCGTATATGCTTCGAGCCACAAGATGTACCTCGAAAATCCATCGATAGCACCGTGGATACAAATTCCGAAAGGTTTTAGTTTGTCATAGCCATCGATGTGCCAAAGGTAATTTGGACCAAAATTTGAATACATCCTTCGAGAAAGCCTGTGTCTTTGTCGATTTTTTATTCCAACTGGGTCTAAAATGTGCAAAAGTTCTCTGATGGTTTCCTGTGTCACCACGTAACCATTTTGGATACTTTTCAGGTGCATCATCTTGTATCCATGTTGTCTTCCAGATGTTTGAATTTGTTCCAGCAAAAACAACGAAACATCTACAATATCACTGTAATTTTTGCGGCGAAACAAACCTAATCTTTGCAGAATTCTCTTCAATGTCCGCATACTAATTGCGATTCCATCATTATTTGACAAACAAGTTAGAATTTCGGAAAAGTTAAGTCCACACATGAAATATGAACGTATTATTTCCTCCATATTTAATGTTGTGAAACTGATCTTTCGCTATCAAATAGTCACAACTCAGTATCTACTAATTAGCACTTACTATCTACTATATATGATTTAGTATCTACTAATTATGACTTAGTTTCTACTAATTATGACTTAGTATCTACTAATTACGACTTATTATCTACTAATTAGCACTTACTATCTACTATTTATGACTTAGTATCTACTAATTATGACTTAGCATTTACTTATTAGTACTAACTATCTAATAATTATTACTAAATATGTACTAATTAGTACTTACTATCTACTAATTATAACTTACTATCTAATAATTAGTACTTACTATCAACTAATTATGACTTAGTATCTACTAATTATAACTTACTATCTAATAATTAGTACTTACTATCAACTAATTATGACTTAGTATCTACTAATTATAACTTACTATCTACTAATTAGCACTTACTATCTACTAATTAGTACTTACTATTTACTAATTATCACTTACTATCTAATAATTAGTACTTACTATCTACTAATTATGACTTAGTATCGACTAATTATAACTTACTATCTACTAATTAGCACTTACTATCTAATAATTAGTACTTACTATCTACTAATTATGACTTAGTATCTACTAATTAAGAGATAAAAATATTTCAGGTTTGGCACTACGACGCTTCCATAATAAACAGTATAATAGTAAACCAAACAAATAGTTGCTATAATAACTAAATGATTTATATAAGCTGGATTTGGCATTGTTCGTTAGTACGGTTAGGCAAAGTACCGTACCTACTCTGGTTAACGATTATTTTTTACTTTATAAACCTGAAAAATATCTAAACTAAAAAAGAATCGAAATCAAATCATATTAAATCGAGTTGTTTTAATGAAAAAAAAACTAGAATACTTCTTTAATGTTTTAGAAATTTGAAATTGTATTTTCTTGCTTTTGTTGTCTAGTATATTAATATGAATCTAATGAGCCCTGATAATGTATAACGCTAATAGTGAGTTGACTTTCAAAGAACCTGACCACTATTCCAAGAACTTGAAAGACAGAACATCATTTAATTGGGAAGACAAAGATTACAAACTATTAAATTACAAAACATGAAATTCTGAAATAGCATGTGTGCACATTTATTAAGAAGATTATTAGCAGTGGGAATGGTCAATACATACACTTAATAAATCTTATAAGTGTGCATGTATAACTGGTGTCATATGTGTGCCAATTTTGGTAAGATCCTACTTGAATTTTCAATACAGTTGAGAGACATGATATATTATTTCAAATATTAAATTTCACAATAAACACAAATTTGATGAACATGCAGAATAAATGTAATATTGCCTTATAAGCAAATGTCACAAAAGAAATGTTTCATTGAAAATTATTCGTATATGTATGCCTGCCCTGAATGTTGATTACAACCAGACAGCGTTGCCGTATGGATGTGACCGAATATTTTTTATAATATTGCAGTTAATTTATTCACTATTGGATATTTTTCGCATAATCGTGGACGATTTTTGTAGCACTGTACCAAGAACTTCTTATCAGGCTGTTCATTTCACCCTGTATAGCTTCTACTACATTTAGCTATTTTGGTTATATTCCATTAGGTTGTTGTTTGTAAATGTTCAAAAAGATTTTTGGCGCTTATTTGGACATGTGTATGACATATTGTAGAAATTACAACATTATGTTGTTCTTGAGATATTGATAAATTTTAAATTTGAGGTTCATCATATTGGTTATGGTCGACGCTGAGATTACTGTTAATGAACACATTGTTAGTGACAAAAGTCGGCCTGAACTTTCCTGCGGAGTGCAACAGACAATCGCCCAGTAGCGAGCCAAGATTTCTTAAAACTAAAATCTACCCCAAAATTAAATTTACACGGATCAATCAAAATGTAATGTTGATTTTAAAGTCAATGTAGGCATACGTTGATTTACAATATTTATCACAGATGTAATAATTTTGCGTCATGTACTGTTTACGAACCATCACATTTATTGGGCATGTTTGTTAAATTTGAATTTGTTGTGAAAATAAATAATTTGAATATCATACCATGTCTATCAACTGTATTTATGGAAAATTTCAGCATGATAGGTTTAATACTGACTCACATTATAGAATGTTTATACATGCACACTTAAATTATACTATTACTAGATATTGCTTATTCAAATATCGATAGCTGCTCTTACATGAAGTTCCATGAATACTGTCACAGTAATAAGGTGCCCATGGCAGATGAAAGGAGATAACAAAATATTACATGACAGATATAGTTGCATTTACTTCCCTTTAGTTAAAGTTAGGTAAAATAGATTATCTCTTTCCAATAAGTGAATTGAATATATTTCATAATGTATTTTATAGAAAGGTTTTAAGATCGGCGGAAACTGGTGGTCTTCGCCAACTCTATCGTGGACCTGAACTCAACCAGAACACGACATCGGGCATAGATGCTCAAATAAGGTCTTCCTTTGATGACAAGCGCCCCAGACCGTGTGACGTGCATTCCCGACCCTCGACTTCCAAATGGCGGTTGGGAGTTATAAGTACACCGACTTCACGATGAGCCCTATGCAAAGAGGACAGAGGTCACAGATCCCACCATCTTATATAAAGTATCAGAAAGGTGTTTGGTATAAATTGCTTGGCCTTTACACTTGATAATTGGCTGTTACTTTGTAATTAATCGGTGGATTAGTACAGACATGTGGAATAATTATGTCTCCCATTTTTTGCCTTCGCTGTCTGTCTGTCCGTCCGTCCGGTCGTCCGTCCGTCCGCCCGCATTAATCTTGTCCGCCCTTCACAGGTCAAACAACTGGTGGGATTTCAACAAAACTTTACATGAGTGATCAGGACCATCCCTAGTTGTGCACGATACCGGCAATTTCCGCTTGGCTGCACAAAATAGCCGCCAGAGTTTAAAATAGGAAAATATTGTCCGGCCCCCATTGCCATTTATTTATGGAAAGGATTCTTCGTCAAAACTAGTGTGACTAGACAGACCTATACAAATTTTAACATCACTTTTTACTTACTTTAAGATTTGTTTAAACCGTTTGTTTGCTTTTAGAAAAAAATATGATTGTCCCGCCCAGCGATGGATTTTGTTTCGTTCATTGTCGATATCCACTTTAAAATATCGCCAATTAAAGCACAATATATCGCAATATCACTTCGCATTGTTAAGTGCTGTATCGCATTGTCGCTATGTCACTTCGCGTTATACGATGTCACTTCGCGTTGTCGTGTGTTGACCCTGCAAATGCGACGGCGACATTATCAAACGACATGCGACCATTTCAAACGACGCACGACAGTGCGATTCGAATTTTCCTTATGTCATTTCGTATGTCGCGTGTCGTGAATTAGTTTGAGGGTCTACGCGCGACAATTTCAAATGACATGCCACAATCTCAAACGACGCTCGACAATGCGAAGCGACATTTTAGATAATATAGTATCGCATGTGGCCCGTCTACAGGTAAAAGGTAAAAAGTAGCCTCTTCTCCACCTGTTTCCAAAAAAGCGAAAGTGAGTTTTCTGACGAGCGTCATTTGAGATTGTCGCGTGTCGTTTGATAATGTCGCCGTCGCATTTGCAGGGTCGAAACACGACAACGCAAAGTGACATAGCGACAATGCGATATGACACTCGACAATGCGAAGCAACATCGCGATATATGGTGCTTTTATAGGTGACATTTTAAAGTGGATATGGCGACATTGTCTTTTGGGATTGTCGCCGTCGTTTGCGATTGTCGGGTGTTGCTTCGTCATATCGCTTTGTCATTTTGCGTTGCCGTGTGTCGACTATGGAAATGCGACGGCGACATTATGAATGACCCTAACAGGATTCCGTAGTTATCCAAGGCGACAGCAGTTTCTATACTAGTTTTGGTTGTTTTAATGTTGCCCATAAGCCTATGTGTCATTTTTTCTATTATCAAAAACAAATAATGTAATCATTTGAAAATTTCAACCTATATGATAATGTTACAAAATGGAACGAAGAGTAACAATAACTAGAAAATAACCCAAGTAGACATACATTGCAAGTTGTAAGTGTACTTGAAATGTTGTTTTTCTTTTATTCTGATAGCAAATGATGATATCTTCCAAAAACATACAATAAGCTGTGTTTTATAATTTCATTTAGAATCAAAGCACAAACCCATTTTTACGGTTATGACTTGTGAAATCTGATCCTATTCATCACATGATTTTTGACCATGTGCATTTACGATGATATCCTACATCTGTCTATCACATCTGTCATGTTTCGTGGATTAAATGATTTAAATGTTACATATTTAACTGTCTGCTTGTTCCATTTTGACATATACATGTAATAATTCCCATGAAATAACTTCCGCTTAAAACGTATGTTGCAAACAACTAAATTTTCTTAGTGTCATAGTCACTCTGGTGATGCCCAACGAGTCTCCCATCGTGGTGAACTTAAAAAAGAGGAAATAAAATGACGGCCATTCTATTTCATTTTTATGACCAGATTTAAAACAGTTAAAAAGTACTGTCTCCTATGTAACAGAACAAATTTCTTAGTAACGTGGTACATTTTCATTAACATTATGAATAATTCCCAGTGGCCTATGGGAAATTATCATTACAAACAAGTAAGCGGTTATGATATTATATATTCAAATACTATACTAAGATAAATGTGGTTCAGTTAATTATTTTTGTGCACAAAGCTATATCTGATAAATAATATAATTGCTATATATAATTTAGATAATTATCTGTTACATTATGGTGTTTTCATTCCCAATGGTAGTTTGATAGACTTGTTGCATGGAATTTCTATGTAATAGGTGTCACGATAGCTCACATGGTTAAAACACTGACTGTCACACCTGAGGTTCCGGGTTCGATCCTTGGTAACATTCTTGAGGTATTTCAGAGACACTTTCAGTGTTTCCCATCTACCTAGAGGTATACGGGTATGAAAATCCTAGT